CTTAGTCTCTTTCAAGAGCTGATATCACTAACACCTAAAGCAGTGCAGGAAAACACTCTGTTTTAGAGGTCTATGATCTCAACTCTTGTGGAAAGGAAAAAACAACAGAAAATTCTGAACTCAGTACTTGGCTGGTAAATAAGGGTGGAAATAAAGTTTGATTTAGTAGTCAAAATAATTTGCATGTTAAGACCACAATTACAAATTTGAGACGCTAAATAACATTTTGYACTCTATGCATTCTTGCAAGTAATATATAACCAATCCTGTCTCTATGATTCACTAGAATTCTCATATGAGATGAGCTGCTACATCGCCCTTTGAAAGCCACAGAGATTGGTAAATCTGGCCTTATAAAATGCTCATGTCTTGCTCAGAGCCAAACCCTCTCAATAACAGCAATGCCTACTTATAAGAAGGCAGATTGGATGAACCACAGGCCTCTGCATAGTGGCTACATTTACCCGAATAACGTATAGCAGAATGCCCCAAACAGTACCAACTACAGCTAAAGGTATAGCTAAAGGTATAGGGAAACCTGACCTCCCAGTCTGGGACTCATACAGATGATTTTTCAGAGGAAAGCATGCTATGAGATACAGGCTTCTACCCCTTCCTCCAGCAGCTCAATAACTAACAAGCAATTTCTTGACAGGGAAGAGACAGGAAACATGATAAGTTTTGATTTGTACCGCACAAGGCATCCCTAGGAAACTGGAAAAGACTATCAGACATCAGGTATTATGCACAGAAACTCTGCCATACATACATATATATATATATATACACACACACACACACACACTCATATATATCTCACTGGGATAAGAGTGCCCTCTGTGTAATTATCAGCTAACAAATGACAGAGTGCAGCTTTTCTCTCTAATGTAACTAACGTCAATCATAATATCTAAGGTACTGAGTCTTCCTAATTGTCTAGAAGTCTCTAAATGAAGACACAAAGTGATTCTCTGGGAATTCCTTCTCAAAAGGATCTCTAGAGAGCAATTCAGAAACTATGGCTGTGTAACAAATGAAGACTATGCAGGAAAGTTGCATGTAATAGATTGAGGCTGCTAAGTAGARTATATAGACCTGCCTTTAATTTTAATTCAGAAATACAGAAAATGAGAAAGTGAAAAAAAAATGCTGAAAGTTTGAGAGTATTGAGTTGCTAGAAGCCTGTAAAACCACCTGTGTGACCGAGCAATCTTGTGAAGCAAGGGCAGACAGGGCACACACAGGGCCCTAAGACTTAGGGCTACGTGGCCTAAGTAGCGCTACCCTAAGCCTCCCAATTTAAATTGGGCTTTGACATTTGTCCTCATTACCAGAGTGACACAATGTGACCTGACTGCTCCCCACCTCCAGCACGGGAAGTGGAGTTCAAAGAGGAGGGGTACAGGGCTCTGTTAGCTACCCAGGCACCTTTTCTCAACCAAAACGCTGTATTAAGAGGAGTGTTAATAAAAGTGTCGACTCATGCATTCAGCAACATGGCTTGTGCCATCAGCACACACTTCTGTAATAGTATCAGATGAGAAAATAATGAAAATATTGTTAGGTACATCCAAAACACTCATGTATTTCACCGATTTTTACATTCTGCATTAATCCCACTACACAGCCAACACAGGAGGGTAACAGAAAATGCTTACCTAAAGAGTTTTGAACAAGGCTCGTGGTTATGAATTTCTGCAACAACAACAACAAAAAAAAAAACCATAAGTCCAGTTGCTCAACATACAGGGAAATTCTAGCATGCATCTTGCAGAGCCTTTCCACATCACAACCAGCAAGCAATTAAACATTTGTGTCAGACCACACACTGCCCTGCGAGTCATTCCACCACATTTGGGAAGTGGCCTCTCTTTCCAATCTTTGCAGGGTGGAAAATATTTTAAAAATAAATAAGCCTAGGTCACACTTATTTTTTTTTTTTCCTTCTGTCATTGCAAACTGCTCACATAATTTTTCTTATTTCTTTGCTCTTGCCGCACTTTTTCCAAAACAGCTTGCTTACATTCATATACACTGTTTGCAGTAATTTTGTATATTATTTAAATAAAGGACAAGGGCAAATACGTTAGCAATAAATGCTAAGATGCTTATTTAAGCAGCAGAGATTGTAAGATTCCAGTAGAGAGAGAAGTGAGAGAGAAGAGGGCAAAAACCCAACGCACATGCTCTCTCTCACCTAATATGACTTACTTTCCTGTGGTTTTTATTATTTCTGTATTTTTGGTACTCAGCCATCTTAATATTTCTTCATGTTATTCTACTTTAATCCTGTAGTTTTCACCCTAGATGGTGTTTGCTCAGATGAGTACGCAGCGTTTATGTAGAAACACCATGAAGCCCCTACGTTAGTTGCCTGCTGGAGTGTTTATCAACAACTTGGTTGGGCGCCTTCCTTCCTGGAGGATGACTCACCAGCTGCTGCTCTGAACTGACAGGCTGCTCCYGCCTGCAAGCCCAGCAAAGTCAGTATCAAATCTCAACTCCCAAGAGCAACAGACTCCACACATTTGCACCTCTGTGTGTTCTGCCACTATCCAAATAAACGTCTTCACACCAATGGCACACATAAGTTTTCACTGGCAAGGAGAACTTTTGATACTGCTGTGAAGGCTGCATTTCAAAGTCATTCCACAAAGCTAGTTAAAATCCACCCCACACTTTCATTCAGGAATCCATGAATCAGTGGAAATGATTTGCTAAACAAAGGCAGTATATCAGATTATTCCAGCTTACAGCAACTCCTTCCAGTAAACACACTGAGTGTAACTACTGAGAATCCATACTTGATTCTTAGGTTATTCTACATTTACACAGACCTCATATTTTGAAAAAGCAGCAGCAACAAGGCTGCTGCTCAGAACACACAATGCATCTACAATTCTAAACTTGAGTTTTTAAAATGCTGATGACATATATATATATATGTGTGTGTGTGTGTGTGTATTCTTAAACACATACTTATTTCAGCTTAGAAATAACCAGAATAGGAATCTCCTTAATCCTCAGGATTCTTATTCACAGAATTGCCCCACTTCAATGTGGTATCTTCAGACATAACAAGAGTACAAGTTTCTGAAACTATCAGTCTTGTATTTAAGCCTATCTTGAGAGCAAACTGCAAGATATTTGTGTATTAGCTAAGCTTGATAAAGGCCCTGCTCTGCTGTCTGGAACTTGATCCACAAACTAGCAGATTTCAAAATCCAGGAAACCAAGTGCATMTATATATGAGAACTTTTAAAATAAAGCTTAGCTGAATCCCGAGTTACATATACACATAACGAAAAGGACACTGAGCCACTACCATTCCTTGCAGGGGCTTCTGAATTTCTATAAATCAGACAACTACCCACAACACTTTTTACCCACATATCAAAATATTTATTCCAACCACCAACAGTCCAAAAAGAGGCACCAAATCTTCCGATCCATTAGAATCATTTCCCTTTTCCTACGACAACAGCCAGCTGTACAGTACCTGTGCTGCTTACCAAGAAAGTAAATGTTTTGACYGCCTTTCCTTAGCAAATGTTGGTGCTGCAGTTCTCAGTGTTACCACCTGCTAGCTGCACATGCCAACTCTCTGGAAATCCTCCSCTTTCATTATTAGTAAACACTATAATACATATTTATTTTATCTCGGGTACATTCCTGCAGGAAACTCACTGCAGGGCCCCAAAAAAATGAAGTCATTTCTCCATTACAAAATGCAGGTAAGTGTCTGCAATGAAGGCTAACTTCCTCCTACAAGGACAAATGCACAACAAGCCATGCCCAGGGAAAGCCTTTCCTCACACCTCAGCAAYGTAGCAAATGGCTTAACAGCAAATTTGGGAGACTGGAAAATCCTACGCTGCTTGCATTAGGAAATTAACACATCTCACTGAATAGTTATATTAGGAACAAACAAAACAGGAGCAGTGTTTTTAGGGGGAATTTAATTCTATTACTTACCAATTACTTGTAGAAACTCAGTGTTGCTGATCTGTGAATCGCTAATGCTGAACGTCTCTTCTTGCCTTACCTCTCCTAGCAGAAACCCTTCCTACAATATCAGGGGGAAGAAAAATAAGAGAGACTAAAATAAAAATAAAATCACTACACGCAGTCATACACCAAAACTTCCTTACTATTGAAGGATTTCGGCAAAATCCTGGTTTAAAGCACACATTTGGGCCAGACTGGGCTTAAGCAGCTCTTGGATTCACCAGACTTTTCTGCACAGCTCTCCTGATTCACGAACACCCCCCAGAGCCCGTGGTTCCACCAAGGGCACAACCAGCCCTGCGGAGGCTTCGGCCGCTGCCCMAAACCGCCTCTTTTGTGATACCCAAACCCGCCTCTTTTGCAGGGAGCTCCCCCAGGCCGGCACCGGGCGGCCCCACCCCGGTGCCGGTCCCCCGGTGCCGGTGCCCCCGCCCCGCTCGCCCCGCCCCGGTGCCGCTCCCGGCCGCGGTGCCGGTTCCGGCGCCGTCACGTACGTGGTCGGCGCTGCTGTTGGCGCTGAAGTAGCACACGGAACTGAACGTGTAGCCCGAGATGGAAGCCGCCATGATGGACACCGCCGCCGCCGCCGCTCCCACAAGGCGCCGCGCGCCGCCGCCCCCGCCCGCTTCCGCCGCCGGCGCGCGGGGGCGCCTGGGAGCTGTAGTCCGCGCGGCGGGGCGGGCGGCACCGCAGCGCAAACGTGGCGCTTCCAGGGCTAAATCCGCAGGATTTGTGTTTTGTTTGTGTTTTGGGGGAATTTCGGGCCGTTACTGCACAGCTCGGGCGCCTCGCGGCTCGGCAGGACAGACGAGCTCTAGTCCTGCAGGSGCTGGAGCGGCCCGGCCGCTTCCGGGCGGCGCGGCCGACATGGCGGCGGCGGGGCCGGCCTGCGGGGAGGCGGCGTTCAGCCCCTCGGCGCTCGGCACCCGCGAGCAGTGAGCGGCGGGAGGCACCGGGACCGCGACCGGGATTGGGACCGGGATTGGGATTGGGATCGGGATCGGCGGGGAGCGGGCCGCCCCGCGTGCGGCGCTAACTGCGCTTCTCCCGCAGCTGGGAGGCCGCGTACGAGAGGGAGCTGCGGAGCTTCCGCGGCGGCGGCGGCGCCGGCGAGGTGTGGTGAGTGCGAGCGAGCGAGCGAGCGGCCCTGCCGCGCCCCGCGCCCAGCCCAGCCCAGCCGCGCGCGGCCSGGCCGCGGGGACACCCGGTCCCTGGCCTCGTTCCCGCTGCCCAGGTTCTCCCGGGCCCGGTTCCCCAGCGGATYGCTAAGCCGTGCCAGGCGGACACGGGCCACGCTACCAATAATACCCATTTTGAATTGTTTTTAATTGCTGAGCCTTAGTGTGGTAAGGCAAGCTCCCGGGACCTTTTCCTTCCTCCCTCCCTTTCTTTCCCAAGGACTTTACTCTCAGTGAACTTGTGAACTTAAACAAAGCAAACCTGGAACACGATCCATGTCACCTGTTTCCCAGTGGCTTCGGTAACCAGGTTGTTCAGTAACCAGTTGCCCAGGTGCTTAACAAAAGCCTGAGAGAAGGAGTCATGAAAGTTGCTGGCTCTTTGCTGTCTTGGTCACTCGAGTCCCTGTTTTTAACAGGTTTGGAGAAGAAAGCGTCGTCCGCTTGATTCGATGGATGGAAAAACGCAGGATCCCCCGTGACAGTCCTGTGCTGGACATCGGCTCTGGGAACGGAGTCATGCTGGTGGAGCTGGTTGGTATATTGCACAGCTTGTGCTTTCCATACGGAATCRAGGCTCAGAACAGAGCAGTCTCAATGCTGTTGTCACGAGCAGGACGTAATCACCCCTTACCCGATGAGTCCTGGATATCTAACTCWATAAACCAGCAGTGCCATGAGGGCTTTCTGGAAATCCAGACCTAGCCAACAGAAATATTTTGCTATACCAAATTAAAATATCTGTTTGTTTTATTTTATTTTTAACTACTTTTAAACTTAACTTATTAGCATTTCCCAGCTTGGCAGCATTTTTGGTTTCTAAAACTTTTTTAAAAAGCTTAAAATCAATGTTTGACCACCTTTAAGCTGGTATTTCAGGTAGCCAGCCTGAATATCTTAATTTAACTTTATTTTTCTGTTTTCACACATTTAAAATGTTTTTTTTTTTCTTTTTTTCTTCCTGTTGCCGTGCAAAACACCCACAGGTAAGGAAATGAAGTTGCTTAACACACAAAGTACTTTGTGTGCAAAACCAGACCCTCTCCCCATGCTCAGTTTTGATAAAGATACKCAACCACTTACGGAAAAAGTGGTTAAAAAAATTCACTTATGTAAATGTGTTAAAAACGTGATAACCCTTATTTTCAAAAAGTTTCCACTTCTGTCAGGGTGCAAACCRTGTTTTCAAGGGTGATAAGCTTGTCATTACCCAGTGGTAGAGGTACTTTAGGAGGTGCAGGGATCCTTTTCTCTTTTTATTTGCCTCCTCTGATGTAATATTACGGAGAGTTGCTAAAGAAAGCAGCTGTCAAACTGTAACAGATTATGTTATGCTATACTCTCTGTTAGCCTCATAGATACTACAGAAGTTGAAAAGGATGCATGTCAGAGTCAGGTTTATGATGGAAATACTGTTGGGATGTTTTTAGCATGAACTTTGATTCAAAACAAACAAGTTTAAAGCCTTTACAGGGMTTGTCTGCGACAACCTGCAGTACATGGGAAGTTTTATCCTCAAAAGTAGAATCTGTCATCTCRTTAAGAGGAATTGATGACTTAATAATTAGCTTTTTTTTTTCCTTTTTAAAAAAAGCAATACTAACTCTGTCACTGTTGAAAAATCTAATAGAAAAATCTATTTATAAGGCCTTAATTTTCTCTTGGCAGCAGTTACAAATCTGCAATTGATTTTCTTCTGTAACAGCAAAACAACAGCCTGTTAGTCCTTAAAAACTGTTAYACTGCCTTAAATTATCTGTTACACTGTGAGATCTTCAGACGATCTGATCTTCAGTGAGCCGAGAGATCTTCAGTGCAATTCCTGTCTGAGAAGTGACTTGAAAAATTACGTGTTCCTCATCTCAAAGTGATTCAAGGTCTCAGCTGATGTAAAAGATCTTGTGTTTGTGTTTGACAGCTTCCAGGTTTTGAAAATAGGTTTGTTTTGTCAAGCTTGTCAGCTGCAGGAGAGCAGTTGTGTTTTCGGGAGCTCGGATTGATGATGGAGACGGCAGTACCAAGAGGGGAGTCGGTTGTAGTTGTGCAGGCTGTGAAGGAGCCTGTCCCAGGCTGGTGCCTGGCAAACTCCTCGGCACAGGAGGAACCTCCACAGAGCAAGGCTAATACTGCCATGCCTGGGCCCAATATTCCTCTAATAGTAAAGGGTATCAAATAGGAGTATACTGAGAAAGTTGCTCTTAATTGCAGCTAGGTTTGGAGGAGGCATTTTCAGTTCTAATGGGGAACACTGCAGTAGGAGGAGGCAAAATAGCTGACTGACCACAGGTAATAAGTGGCACCCCTTGCAGTTTTCACATGTGCAGTAGATCATGCTCCTACCCTGCAGAATTAGGCAGTCTAGTTGGGATGAGTGATTATTTTTTTTTCCTTACAAAAATGCCAGCTCCTCTAAGAAAATATTGCTGCTATGTGCAGCTCTGACTTTCTCCTTTTCTGAGGAGTGTGGGAGCCAAAACAAAAGAAAGAATCTCCTGAAGTGAAAGGAATTCACCACCAGTGAGAGGAATTCCCCTGCCAACACCAAAGGCTCTATCCTGGTGCAGTGCTAAGGACACTGCAAGCTGCTTTCTGCCTTTTTACCCTTAGGTGCTTTTTCAAGAAGTGGCAGCAGAGTGCTTGTTAATACCAGCCTCAGGATCGGACTCGGATTCCAGGATTCAGGCATTTTTTAGGGAGCAATCTCTCTGTGTCCATGGGCAGCAGCAGTCAGGCAGTACGAGTTCAGCAGCACTAAACAGTGTTTTTCTTTGGAGACTGAAGGAGTGAATGGAAACTCCCTGAAGTGATTCAAGCTCTTCCTTTCCAAACCCAGGGAGCTGTTGTGGGATCTTCCACCCTCTAGCTCGGGCATCTCGGGGAGCTTGGCTCTCTCTCGGAGCTCTGCAGAGGGACGTGGGCTGAGCAATCTGCTGTTCTTGCGATGCAAACAGCACAGGCTTTGTGTTTAGCTGCAATTAGCCCTCAATTAACAACAGCTGGCTAGCGCTGTGCTCACACAGATGGAAGGGCTGCTGGAGAAGGAAAGACTCTTTAGGAAAAGCCCCTGCAGTGTTCCTTGCTGTGAAGGTATCAGCATTCGGAAAAGCAGAGATGCCGYTGATGGTTTCTGTGCTGCTTGAAATCCCTGTATTGATCAGAAAGAAACCAAAAAATCCAACACACYTCCCTCCCCGCCCCTGCTGCCTGAGCTGCCCAGAGGTCAGACCCCTTGCCCTTGGGTGATACCCAAATCAGGTAGGAYCTAATTGCCTGATTTCTTTGCCCTGACTCATCAATATCCAGCTCGGGGTGGGACTGACTGAGCATCTCTGTATACTCTCCTGTGTCACCTATCTAYGGAAATTACAGCACAAACCTTGTTGCATTCACATAGTTGTATTCAATTAGATATTAACATCAATAGTTAGGAAAGCATAAGTTTTTGCAGCATTTTTCCTTTACTGATCAAATTATTATTTTTTGGGCTCATGTTTTAGCTTACAAATGAAATAACTGCTCATATGAATGTTACACACTTACTGAAGAGGGTTTCTTCTTACTTTGAAGCACCTGGCATTGGCAAGTGATCTCACCACTGAAAATTCCTGGTTTCTGGGTTGCTTTCGGTGCAGAAGCCAAGTCCCCTCCAGTGTGTGACTTTTCACAGTTCTCAGTTTTCTACAAAATGGAAATAAATTAACTTTCAGTTAACAATTCTCTTGATGAAGTATCAGACAGGATGGAGTCATTTCGGCTCATTTCCCCAGCTGTTTCACTCCTGTGGTGATAACRGGAATAAAAATGAGCAAAAGCAGGGGGTGGCTTTTAAGAGGTGCCATGGGTTATAATATAGGGGAGACGCTTGTTGAATATAGTTTGCTAGCTCACTGATTAAGGTTCTCTCCTTCTCTCCAGGCAAAATCAGGTTACACCGATCTCACTGGGATCGATTACTCGCCTTCTGCAATACAACTTTCAGAACAAGTGAAAGAGAAAGAAGGGATGTCTAACATTAAATTTCAGGTAAGTGCCGAGAGAAACTGTATTAAAGAAATAGAAAGCAGTGGAAACCAAGGTTAAAGGAGCTACTAGCTATTCAAGTGTCTTCACTGTAATGTATTAAGAATGCCTTTTATGTGTATTTTAAACCTCAAGGGAGGACTCTAGCCAAAGCCTGTTAATATATCTCCATTTACAAGAAGATCTCTCRGTCTATTTATTTTTCTGTTCACAACAGCCATTGGGGCTAAAAAGCTTCCCCTGCTTCTGGGAGGGAGCAGAATAAAGGGTTGTCAYTTGACAAGTTCTGTGACTTGTTTGGTACATCCTGCATTTCAGTTTTGAGATAGAAGAYTAAACTTTTAACTGAAAGGGTCTGCACCAGTAGCTGTGTCACGGACAGGCTGAGGGAATTCACGCTGAGCCCCCCCGGCTCTGCTGTGTTGTTTTCTGTACCCGTGTGATGTCTCCTTTCTTACAGGTTGGTTGTAAGGTCTCTGTGATGGGCACTGCCTTTTGCTGTGTATTTGTGTAGTGCCTGGCACACTGGTAGTGCCAAGCAACCGGGGAGCCAACTATAAGTAAGGACTGAAAGAATGAACTTTGAATATGCTAGCTTGAGCTTTACATGGACAGATGTATACCCAGGCTTTACAGCAAGTAGGTTATTTGTAATCCACAGAGGAAAAAGAAGCTAACATGGCACTGTAATGCAAAAAGCTTTTGAGTTGCCTCTCTTAAACACACCTGTTGCCAGGTGGGAGGCTTTGTGTTCCACAGCATTGGTTTGTATTCAAGATTCAGGAGCTCCTGAGTATAAGATTGTTTTCACAGATAGAGGCGTCTGGTTTAGGTAGAAGACTTCCTGGCCCCATCAGCTGGACTATCAGGATTTGAGATTTGCATCGACAAGGGGACRTTCGATGCTGTAAGCCTGAATCCTGAGGATGCAGTTGGGAAGAGGAAACAGTACGTGAGATCTCTCTGCAACGTATTGAAGCCAGGAGGCTTCTTCCTCATAACATCCTGTAACTGGACCAAGGAGGAGCTGCTGAGTGAGTTTGGAGAAGGTAAGAAGGTCAAAAATTGCAGCTTTTTTATTTACCAGTGCCAGCATGTCAGGGGAGCACAGGTTGTGGTGTTCTTTGAAAAACAGCAATTTCAAGCTGGCAACACTTGGAGAGGAGGGAATTCTGCACCCAAGTTTTGTTTTGTTTTTCTGGTCCTCCACTAGCAGGCAGATCATCCTCCCAGTTCATTTTGAAAGCAAGGTAGCCTTGTTTCTCCTGTTTGGGAAAGCTGACAAGTCTGGACTGTGATGTTCTAGGTGATTTGCCCAGTGACCCTTCTGATCCGCTCTGAAGGGCTTTTCTAACATGCTGCTCAGCTCATGAATCTCATGCTTGAAACTCAAGAGTGTGCATCTAATACAACCCTTCTGCAGAGCTAAAAATGCTGGCAAGTGATCATCTTTTCTGTCCTTAATTTGTGTGATTCAGCCAGCTAAGACTTTTATTATCCATGGAAGAGWTTCAGCTGCACAAAGCAGCAGTGCAGTCTAACAATACAGTCCTGCAGACTTACAAAGTAACTGACTTGCAAGTTTTCCAAACCAATAAGGAATGGTTTGCAAAGGGTTATCCAAGAGGAGAATAAAATGACTTCCTTCTAATAAAAGCATTTTAATTTCTGTCTGGCAGGATTTGAAATTCTGGAGGAGCTGCCAACACCCAAGTTTTGCTTTGGAGGAAGAATTGGAAACACTGTAACAGCGTTGGTTTTCCAGAGGAAAAAAGTGGGACCGTGCATCTTGGACAAATTAAATTAGTTGAGAGAAGAAAAGCCTGAACTTTAAAGAAAACCTGACAGAAAACCTCAGACACATGTGTAAATAAATGCTCTTTGAGTGCACAGTAAAACCCTGTGTGGAACTCCAAGGGACTGTAAAACGTTGCCCTAGAAACATTTCAACTTTGCATAACTTGCCTGTAAATTTTGTCCTTGCTACAACCTTATTTGGTTTGGGAAGCTGCAAGTATGTAAGTGAGAGGAAAATCAGGCATTCTGATTTTTATGATTAATACAACCGAATGATTTTTGCATTTGGAACGTCCAGCTTATGTGTTTTTTAACTTTTATTTTGGCAACTGGGACTCATAGAAGTAAATGTGTTTTACAAAGCAAAAATCTCTTTTCTCTATTGTGAAGTGTAGCAGGAACAAGCTTTTGAGATGCAAGTGCTTGATTTTTTTTTTTCCCCCTCCCTTAGGTAAATATGAGTGCAACAGTATTATCCAAAACCAATATTTAGTTAAGTAAAGACGGAAATGAATATAAAAGCTGTAGCACTTGCAAAACAGAACCAGTTAGTGGGTTAGGTTTGGGTTTTCAGAAGCTCTCAGCCTCTGCATAGTTCTGTTTCTGCTGAACGGGCCTCCCTCTGTGGGAAAAGAGTTGAGCTGTTGAGTGCTTTTAAAAATCTCGCTTGCCTGGATGTGCCCATGCTTTGCCAGCTCTTTCCACTGCGTCCAGAAATACATAAAGGTGTGATGTTATAATTTCACTGGTAGGTGACACATGCCCCTTTCATTATTAATTTGCCATATAGAAGTATCTCGAGAGCCAGTATCGAACATCTGCTTTTCTACTAATTTTTTTTTCAGATTTTTGGATTTTAGCTGCATAAATCCAAAAGAATCTAAACCATAACTATCCTCTCTATTATTTTTTACTTCTGTGTGTGATCCTTTTTAAATTTATTTTCTTCAGTTTTTCTGGATTGCAGAAGCTCTCTACTGCTTGCAAGGAAGGAAAATATTTCTTTATGCCTTGAGGCACATTTACAGATGACAATAAATAAGCACGATTTTTTGGGGCAGCCATGAGATCCACATTAGGAAATCAGTTTTCTTTTCATGGCAGAAGACGGTGTTTGCTCAGAGAACTGCTCCTCATAGTTTCCAGTCTAAGCAGCGCTCAGGAGATCTTTAAGGGTCCAGAAACACTTCCAGCACTTCCCCATGGTAGGAAATTGGGCAAAACCGATTTGCCCGGTGGGGGATCCCCCCGTGTGATGAGTCTGATGTCCTCAAGGTGGCAATCCGAAGTTCTCCATCTTTCTGCACACCAGGATAATRCTGGTTGCTTTGGAGGAAGAGCCCAGCCTTAGTGGTGAGGAGCCCGGGCCCAGTGAGTAGTTCTTTGCATATTTCCTCAGGCTCATTTTCATAATTTGAGTKCCAAAACAAAGATCCTTTTATCATCTCCTTAACTACTGTAGTACGAAGCACAGCATCTGCCCCGTCTGCCTCCAACAGGAATGCTGTTAAATGTAAGTGACAGTTCAGATAAGCTCTATTTTTGATGGAGATGACATTTTTGTAACAAAACTGGGATCTAGCAGGGTTAATGCAGGCAAATTTTATTGGTAAGTACTCTGGCAGCATGTGTTTGGGGCATCTGTTTTATTCCTGTTTGGAATTTTTGCCAACAAAGGCATGATATGGATTTAATCATGGAATGAGAATAAAGTAATGGCTGTCCTGGATTTTCTTTTAACCATCTAAGGAGAATTTAACTATAGGTTCACGCTGCATAGGATAGATAGGTTTCAGGGCAAATGTTGCTTGCTTTTCCAAAAAGGATTGCTTGTATTTTTGATTTTGTTTTTAGGTAACTACTTTTCTGCCACTTTTAAAATTAAAAATAACCTTCCTAAAATAATTAAATATGAATCTTAACACCCAAAATCATATAAAATACGTCATGCAAGTTGCAAAGAAAACATGGTTCTTGGGCCCTGCCTTTGGGCTCCAGTCATAAGGTGGGTACACAGATAAATTAATGTCACATCTAAAATACTGTCGTCTTGTCCGAAGATACCACAGGCCTATAGTTATTAGATTATAAAGTTATACTAGGCCGTTGCGGCTAGTAAAATTAACATCTTCCAAGGATCTCTACAGTGGACGAGCCTGCACACTTTCAGATGTTTTCATTTTCTTCCCTGCTAAAGAAAAGCTTGATTTACTCTCATGGTGAGTGGAATGGCTACCCCGCTGCTCCAGCTACTGCCCTGCAGTATTTTATAGGAATGAGACACTTCTAGATGGAGCAAGAAGAGTGTTGGCTGAGCTAACTTAGGGTTAGTACATGTCCCAGCTCAGTAAAAGGCTCCTCTTTGCACGGGCGAAGGAGGCAGTTAACCCAAACTGCTCACTCTACCCTTGGATTTGCAACCAAGCGTGCAAGGAGCTGGGCCGGCACCGGCCCGGGGACTGCTTTTACCTAAATACGTCTTTTTGAGTAGCTTTCTCACATTCAGCACACCTTGCTCTTCTTCATCGCTGGTYTTCCTAAGGCACTAGCACGTTCCAAGAAAGCTCTGAAAGTTCTGTAGCCATTGCAAGGAAAATCCATGTATATATAGTCTGCTATGTCCGTTCTATAGTGTTCCAAGGTAGCTAGCTAAAGCCTGCCAAAAATTATGTTACTTCATACCAGACAAAAACTTTCAAGTATGGTATTTAGCCAACATCCAGCAAAATTTTCAGCGTTTTGGCACTCGCTGCTTTCCTAATCTTGGCATACGGAACGGCAGTGAACAACGCCTTGCTGCAGCAATAACAGCATTATTTTATAAGCCCTCTGAGCACTTGAACCTATCAAATCGTCTTCAGTAAAATATATGGAAAGCACATAGGAAAGAAAGGGGCCAGGGCCTTGCATGGCCATAAGAGACTTACCTTTGCGTTCCCACTGCCTGCTCTGGGATGAGAGGAGAGGAAGACGGAGCTGGATGAAGGGTTGGCACAGACGGATACGGAGAGGCTGGGAACATGTTGAGTGTGAATTGAGCCTCGTGCCCAGCCTTTGATTCGGGGACAGTTAATGGGTACCTTGGATTTTCGGTGAAAGGATGAAATGTTATAACCTTGGGACAGAGGAGAAGCAGTAACGCTGGCAGGTTTAATTTGCCACCGCTAAGGGCAAAGGCAGCTCCTGGCTTAATTTCCGTCTGGTGGGTAACAGGAGAGCAGAATTTAATTTGAATTAAACTAGAAATTGCGGCTGGGCAAGCGAGCAAGGTAGCCTGTAAGGTCTGGGTAAAAGCAAGTGCCCAACCACAGCTAACAACACATGTGAGGGAGCAGAAACRAACCTCGTGGTTCGTGTTCATGGGGAGCATCTCCCATCAAGCAGGGAGATTCCCCTCTTCAAGAGGGGAAGATTTTGTGCTTATTGAGAGAGGCCAGTGGGGCTGCGAACTGAAACCCTTCAGTTCTGCACGGAGAGTTGCCGCCGTGGTGGGATAAGGCCACATCCATCCTGGAACACTGACCAAGAAAGGACAAGATGCCGTGAGGAACCCTCAGCTTTTCCCCAATGCTTCCCCTAAAGGCAGGCTGGTGTCTTGGGGAGCAGAAATGAGGCTCTTTCCTCACATTGGCCGTTGCCGGCCACAACTTGCACTGATACATATGGATCAGATCRTCTCTAAACCTTCTCTTCTCCGGGCTAAACAGGCCCAACTCGGGCTGTCCTCATAAAAGAGATGCTCCTGTCCCTCCATCATCCCTGTCGCTCTCCGCTGGACCCTCTCTAGGAGCTCCATGTCCCCCTTGTCCTGGGGAGCCCAGAACCTCACACAGCCACCTCAGACGCAARCGTGTGGGACGGTGATAAGGGCCTTGGGTGTGGGCAGAGTTCAGGATGGGCTTTCACGCACACCCAGCGCCCGCAGCCGCCTCATGTGCCTCGAAAGAGAAGGGATGAGAGCTAAAAACTGCTATTTTTGCGGGTTTTTGAAGTAAGGTGGGAAGCAACCACTGTCTTAGCTCTTGGAGACCGACCCTGCCCACACGAGGCCTCCTCAGGCCCCCACAGAGTCCATGACACTGCACGTTCTGTTACTGCAACAGTCTGTGGGGAAAACACAAAGCACCTTTTCAGGCTTGATTCCCGAGGTTCTGGAAAAGCAGTTCCTGGCRTTTTGTCTTTATGGTGCCCGTGTGAGCTGGGGCAGGAGGGCAGGCGTCCGCCTGCGCCCCAGGAGCCGCCCGCAGGACCCCTTGACACCCCCGGGTTCCTCTTTCCCCGCTCCCAGCCCCTCGGGCCGGCTTTGCCCGTGCGGAGCAGGACCCGCTCCAGCAGACACTTCRTAGAGCCATGATGGCTGGAAAACACCTTGAAGACCACGGAGCCCAACCGCAGCCCGTCCCTGCCTGCTACACCGCGGCCCCAGGCGCCTCAKCCGCGCAACGGGAGCTGCTCCTCGCTCAAACTTCACATTTTTCTCCTTGTGCTTCCTCTCCTCTATTTACTGGAGACTGACGCTCGTCCTCCACACGGACCCAACGCGCGGTCCCAGCCGGGCAGGACATTTTAGGCCGGGCCGAACCCCCCCTTTTCCCTCGGACCCCCGTCCCGCCTTGCGGTGCGGCGGCGCGGGCGGCTGACACGGGGGTCCCCGCGCGTGTCCCCCGCGGGGCGGCCGCCGCCAGGAGTCACGCCGTGTCCCCTCCCACGCGCGCGCGTGGCGGCGCCGCAGGTGCCGGGGGCCGGGCCCGGCTCAGGAAGTGACACGCGCATTTCCTCCCGCGGCAGCTCCGCGGCGGCGGCACCGTAAGCGCGGCGCGGGGCGGAGGGGCCGCGGCCCCGCGCGCGGGGGCGGCTCTGCCGCCGGGGGAACGGGGGGTCGCGGGGCGCGGAGGGGCCCGCGGGGCCCGGGAGCGGCCGCTCCTGACAGCGCCCGCGGCGGGATCGCGCGTCCCGGCGGGAGCGCAGCGCGGAGCAGCCCCCCCGGGGCAGCGGGAAAGCCGCATCCCGAGCCCGCAGCCAGGACCTGCCCCGGGCTCCTGCGCTCTGCCGCTTCCAAGGGGGAAATTCCACYCTCCGTGTGACAGTGAGGGCCCCCTCGAAACCTCCCCATCTGCAGGATAGACCTGGAACGGGTGGGATATTCCTGCGGGATCCACCCTGGGATGCAGGCAGGGTCTCCAGGACCCGCGCGGGTTGTTTTTGTGGAGAGCAAAGGGCCTTTGCAAGGGAAGCGAGGGCTGGAGGCGCCGGCTGCGCCGGGGAGCAGGGTGAGGCTGCCCGGCCCCCGGTTGATTCCRATGGATGAGATCCAGGTTTTTATGCACGGATATCAAGCGGGCTGTGAGGCGGATCGTGCCTGCGTTTCAGGCTGGTTTCAGGAACGGGTGCACGCATGCAGGAGTGTGTACACATGTAAATATGTAAACACGCGCCAGGGCGAATCCTGAATTCCACTTAAGTTAATTATAACTGCAATTATTTTTCTTAGCATTTAAGGTCTGCTTTGGTTTCGGCAAAACTATTTGCAGAGCGGGACCGGCAGCTTTTTGCGGGCAGAGCGTTTCGGGGCAGAGCAGGCGTGAGGGGCTGCATCCCGAGGCCGGAGTCGGGGCAGTTCGGCCGTTCCGTCATTCCCGGGCACCGTCCGAGCTCCCGCTCGGCACTGCGGCCTTTGCGGCCGCTCCTCCTTATCGTTCCTGCCCGCCTTGCAGTGCTGTTTGTGGGCCAAGGAAGAGAAGCGCTGTGGGATACGGTTCGTGCTTTCCTTGCTTCTCCATCCGGGTGTTGGGAAGCAGCTGGGGCTTTGCGGAGGAAAATGCCCCTGGGAGAAGAGCCCGTGTTGGTTCCAGGGCCGGCGGTGTCCCGGGGGGCTGCAAGGCGGCTCCTCGAGCGGTGCAGCCTGCCCCGCGGCGCCTTCCTCCCTCCAGGCGCGAGGAGGAGGAAGAGGAAGCGGGTCTGGTGCCCTGGGGAAGCGGAGCGGCGGAGAGGGGCCGGAGCGAGGGCGCTGGTGTCCTCCCCGCCACACATCAGGGCTGCCTCCTTCCCTGGGCCGCGGCTTTTCCTTTCCGCATCCCGGGTTCAGGGATGCACCCGGTTCTGCTCCTGTTCCCTCCCCTGCCTCAGCTCTCCCAGCCTCTGTGGGAAGTAACGCGGGATGAATGGG